AATCTGTTACAGATTCTTCAGCACTTTTCTCATCGTTTTCAACTGTAATTACACAAATGTCACCGTACGAAGACCAAAAGTACTGAAGAACCTGTTGCAGTAATTGTTCTGAAGCTTCCATAGATATATATATATATATATATATCAGTTTCAGTTATTTCATCACTGAATATCAGTTTCTCCCACGACTGTTTAATACAGTAATGATAAAAACTGCAGGACCGTTTCTCACATAATTCGTTTTCAAGACGTATTGCTTTCTTTTGCGGATGTTTTTCGTCTTCAGCCCGTACAAAACAATCTTCAATCAGACGTAAAATATTTTGCAAAAACTCATCTTTAAGGTCACATTTGTTTTCGTCCACCAATGCATTGGTTGCAAAATGGTCTTTTCATTTGACGATGACTTGTATACATGGTGAAGTGTTTGCAAAAACGATTTTAAATTCTTTGCTGTAATGCTTGAACAAATACCAGAGATGTCAACATGAGAGTTAGATGTTTTAGCAAAAGAAACATTGCCTTTGTCAATATCATTTAAACAAAAATGAGTGTTTAATAAAGCTATATTTGTTTCTACCTAGCAACGGTTGTCAAGGAATAGACAAATGTTAATTTCTTGAGCCAACCATTCACCGTTAAACATGACGTATTCATCACCAAGCCCTGCATCACACGTCGATCACTCTTCCTATTCCTGTTGCACCGCCCTATATATAAGCGCCCTGGTAGAAACATTGTAACAGCTTGTGCGCTAATGAGTTAACCCAAAGTAAAAGTTTAGTAAACGTTTGAGATGGCATCTTTCAATGTAGCTAGTGAGGCAGCTAATGTTCTTTCCTTTGGAAGTTTTTCCCTTCTGTGATTGTCCTTGGATAGAAGGTCAGGGGCGGATCCAGATCGATGCCAACAATGCGAATGCATTGGTCAAAATTGAGAAATCATGTTGCTTGAAATAATAAATATATAGACATATAACACATATTATGCTGTCATAAATACTTAGGCAAGCACTCAGTAATAGAATATCTTTGAATCTCTCCAGTTATCAAACCGAAAATATTTGCTTAAACCTGACTCCATGTCAGGAATACACTATTTAGGATGAAATCCAATTTAAATAGTCTCAATAACAGTCGAAATTGTCAAAATAAGTCAATATGTGACATGCGATTGCAAATGTGTATTTTCTGTTATTTACTCTTTATTTTGTGACACTTGAGCATCAATAATTTCGCGACAAAATATGTTATTTTTTACCGCATCCTTTGACGTCACAGCAGAAAGTGAATGCATCCCTACATCATGGTAGATTTGTTTTGCATCGATTTTAAGCCATTTTGCATCAGTGAATGCATCGGTCCCGAGTCCTTTTCTATGTGAAATCTACTGTGACATCAAATCTTTTGTTTTAGAGCCCTACGTCACGGTAGATTTGTCCGCTGAGTGATGCATCACTGATGCAAATTGCAAAATCAAAAGTGACGTAATGAGGCATTCGATTCAAGTCATGCGGCAAGGATATGCAAACACTATATGCAAATGAACAAATAATGCAAAGAAATATCCTTTGAAATTGACAGAGAACAAATAATTTACAGTCAAATTAATTATCAAGGCTTGGAATGAATCTAATCTTTCAAGTGAGTACAAGAATTGAAGTATATTTATACTGTGAGATGCCTGTTAGAATAATAATTATTATGTTAATTTATACCGGGTGGCGCAAAAAAAAGTTCACGCGTTTGATGTAGTACAGTGAAAAAACTATAAGTGTTACATCGCTGAAATAAACGTAGCTGTATTCATAAAAGTCTAACTTAAATTTTGAGCTATAGCATGTTTATTTACATGCAATATTGACCGGGATATCGCCAAATAAAATTTGGAACGAAGTTTTGAAAATCTGACAAATTGGCTAAAAATGGCCTATTAAACTGTTTTGATAAATTTTAGAACTTCGTCAGACATATTCGCTTGTATGAATTTAATTGAATTGAAACGTGTAACGAATGATTTTCCTTATTTATTTATTTGTTTTATTATCATTTGAAAAGCAACAAAATTTCGAAAAAGATGGCTCTTTTAATTAAGAATTGCTTCGCAGTATTCCATGTCCCATAGCCATAGGGAATTAAATTAGATCAACAACCGAACAATTTGAGACAGCTTCGTGAAGCGATTATTGCTGATTGCCATAACTTTGACCAGCAAATAAATCCAACGTTCGTTCGATAGTATGGTCACACGTGCAAGAATATAGTTATTTAATTTTCCATGATAAACGCGTTATTTACTGCCGTTGTGTTCTTCATATATCGTTAATTCCTTTACTCGTATTTAATAGGCTATTTTCAGCTAATTTTGGAACCTTTTGAAAATGCATATTCAAATTGATTTACCAATATCTTGGGTAATACTAAACAAAAATGCATGTGTTATACATCAAAATTTAAGTTAGGCCTTTCTGGATAGGATAACATTTATTTGAGGAACGTAACACTTACAGTTTTTTTGCTGTACTAAATCAAAAGCGTGAACTTTTTTTTGTGCCACCCGGTATAACCTATCATGTGACTACTCGATACAAGTATTCTAGTTTTGTTTCTACATTGTACGTTTGTATTACTCTATTGATAAATATATATTCGTTTAATAATATATTTGTAACCGGTTATGGGCCCAGGCGCCGCTGAATAAACAGGCAATACGTGTTGTCTTACTTGTCTATAAAGACGTGTATATTTTGTGTTTACCGAAGCGTAAACGTGTGCCAAAGAAGGCTGTTGTTTTTGACGAAATTTAAATATGGCGGAAATTACAAAAATAAAAAATCTAAACGGGAAGAATTATCAATCCTGTTTCTGCTGGAGACTCCTCCAGCAGAAACAGCGACAAAATGCAGTAAAAAATGCATGCCGACTTCAATCTGCAAGTCTGCAAGTACACACTACTACAACGACAGTCGCATGAAGTCGCATGGGAAACATTGCAAAAAAGCAATTTGAATTTGTTTCTATAACACAAATCGTTAGACTAAACCGAAAGTTTTACGCAGCTACGATGAAAGAGGGGACGGATATTCTGGATCATGTGACGTACATGACCTCGTTGGCTGAACAGTTGCAAGAGTTAAAAGAAGAAATTTCTGATCAAAAATTTGCTACAGTCGTACTTAGAAGTCTTCCAGAATCATACGATAATTTTATATCTAGTTTAAACGCAAGGACAGTCGAAGAATTGAAATGGGACAATATCAAAGGCGTGTTAATGAAAGAGTACATGAAATGGAAAGAGAAACAAGGTCATGGTCATGACCAAGATTCCAGTCGAAACGAAGCATTTTTCAAGTAGGGGAAATTTCTCGGGTAGGGGAAATTTCTCAGGTAGAGGGAGAACTTATCAACATGGTAGTCGATATCAGGAAAATA